ATACCATTTAATAGAATGAGGAATATAAAGAAGTGAATGGAAAGAGGTTTCAACCCGACAGGAAGGGAGCTAATCTGGCGCACAAATGGCTCCAAGACAAATAAGAATATTGCAGCTGGGGTGCACACAATCGGTACAAGACGAAAATTTACTTTTAGCTTTGGTCAGTACAAAAGCAGTATTCCAGGCAGAAGTGTATGCCATTAAGGCATGCGCAGTTGAGACTCTGGATACGAACTATAAAAACAAAAACATCTACATTCTATCAGACAGTCAAGCTGCAATTAAAGCACTTGTTAAATACCAGATCACCTCAAAACTGGTCTGGGACTCCCATCAATCTCTCATACAACTGGCCAGATATAACAGAGTTCAGCTAATATGGGTGCCAGGCCATGAGGGTATTGCTGGGATTGAAACCGCAGATCAGTTGACAAGAACAGGACCTGAACAGCCGTTCACAGGACCTGAACCAGCTTGCGGCATCTCTATAGGAGAGTAGTGCTGGGAATGAAACCTCAGTTCAGCTGACGAGAACAGGATCTGAACATCTGACCTAGCTTGCGGCATCTCAGTAGGAGAGTATTGCTGGGAATGAAACCGCAGATCAGCTGGCAAGAACAGGATCTGAACAGGGTCTGAACAGCCGTTCATAAGACCTGAACCAGCTTGCGGCATCGAGGTCAAGAATTGTGGAACTATACCCCCATTTCCACATGAGTCTTCCTATAATTAAGCACAAGGACAACTTCAGCTTTTATATAATTTTAAGAATACAATGTGGAACTCCAGTTAAGAACATTCTTCTTGACCGTATGGAAACAATTGGACTTACTGCGGCTCTAGTGAAATGGCGTAATTATGAAATTGTCTGACAGCGCCCAAAAATTGGAGCTTTTTAAGAAATTCTGGATTTCTACATTGTCTCGAGTATCCATTTACGTACAGGCCTACGTATACACAGAGTCCATTAATAGCTTCCTGCCCTCTACACGAACCATACACCCTCATACATGCGGTCGGGTCTTTCTCATTCTGACTCATTTTCGTGGTCGGGCGTTTTAATCTCCCACGTGGAAGCATGCACGTATTAATAGTAGAGCGTACAGGTTATTTTCTGTCATGTTTACGTATTCAATTTATTTTCTGCCTTACTACAATACTATTTCACTTGTTTTCAACAAAAGGAAGGTCACAGTTATTCAGTTTGCGGTTGAAAAACAAGCTTTGCTCTTTATTCATTAGAGACGAATAGTTCTTATGCTGTTAATTCACTTCTGTTCTTAATGAATTCGGGGGCATGCGGTAGCGTAGTTCGTTGAGGCACTATGCTACAAGCCGGAAGGTCGCGGGTTCGATTCCTGATGAGGTCATTGGATTCTTTAAATTGACCTAATCCTTCCAGCCGCACTATGACCCTGGGGTCGGCTCAGTGTCTAACAGAAATGAGTACCAGGAATCTTCTTGAGGGGTAAAGGGCAGCAGGCGCGTAAGGCTGACAAACTTACCGGCATCTATGGCCCGATTGTCTAGAAAATGTGGGAGCCTAGACGTCTCATAACCCTATGGGTCTTCACGGCCTGTTACAGGAATAGTTTTACCTTCACCTTTTATTAGTTAATTCATATTACCTGCAGAGATTAAATATCGAATTAGAGAACAGCAGTTTTCCTAACCAGGAATTGAAGCCATGTGCTACAAAACTCAAAGCACAGGTGCTAATCGCCACTCCACCAATATCCGAATTGTGAAATTGCGTCGAAGGGTTCTATCTTCTGGGATATAACGCAGTGCCGTCCGTTGAAATTCTACTGATGTTTCCGAGAAACAGGTCGCCTCCATCTTGAGCGTCGAAGAATATGCCAAGCAAGAAATCAGCGTGAAGAAGGTAGCAAACTTGCAAGGTTGAAGCAAGGTGCTCCTCTGGAAAGTCAGTTAACTTTCAACGGACTTACACGACTTCATATGCCAGGAGATAGAACTCTTCATAACCACCTCTGCGAGAAGCTCGCATCCACGAAATTTTATTGTTTTTTGAACTGTATTTTTGTCCCCTGCTTTCGTGTGACATCACCTGATTCAGCATTACGAAGCACTTGTAAATGCTGCGCGGGAAATTTCGGATTCCAGCTGAGCCATAAAACTGATAAAACAATCACCACAGCATACTGTCGAGTCACTCTTAGTCAGAACAGGTCATGTAAGAATGTGTCACTATGTAAACTAGGTGCTAACCAGGTTAACTCAGCTTAGTCGAAGGTGTGCATCACAGTAATCTTCCAATATGGCGGAACGGAACGGATTTTGGGTGTTAATTACCTTCCCCCCTCTCTCTTCTTCCTAAATATCCGTTTCTTCCAGCAGTTCTCGAGCTCTCTCTTACTTTCATATCTGATTCTGTCTTCCCTCTCTCTCTCCTATGCTAATGCAGGCCCACCGAGGAAGGCGATGAATACACTGACGAAAGAAAGAAGCTGCAGAGGAAACAGAAGTTACTGCAGGACCAGTTAATATATAAGCATACTTTAAGTATTATTAATATTTTGAGGTTTTCACGGCGGTGACTATGAAGAAAGCAGTCTTCTGGGATGTGGCGCCGTGTAGATATTGTGTTAACCGACGTTTCGTAGGAACGTATCGCCTCCATCTCCAAGGTAGAAGAAAGAAGTAGAAAATCTGCGAGCTTTTTCCTCGCTTGCGGAGTTTCTTATTTTATCTTCTACCCTGAGAATTGAGGCGATACGTTCCTCCGAAACGTCGATTAACACAATATTTGCACAGCGTCACATCCCAGAAGACTGCTTTCTCCTTACTGTAAATATGGTTACTACAAATTTAATTCAAACACAACTCTAAGGTAGGCCAAATGACTGATATTTAAAAAGCGTATGTATGTATGTATAGGTCTGGCTCAGGATAGGGATCAGTGGAGGGCTCTTGTGAACACGGTAATGAACCTTCGGGTTCCATAAAATGCTGGGAAATTCTTGAGTAGCTGCAGAATTGGCGGCTCCTCCAGAAGGGCTCAACTCTATGAGTAAGTAAGTAATTATGTATGTATACCAACGTGAATTATACTCGTTCCTGAAGGTGGTGCTTATGTTCATTACACGTGAGCAATCTTTATAATAATGGGTAAATTAATTCATAGAGAAGTTTAGAGCGGCAGTAGCTTGTGAACATGGCAGTACACCAAACCTAAAATACTTTTTGGCCAACCGAGAAGCTACCAGTTTGTCAGCACTCTGTTCTCCGTGGCTCAGAATAAATTAATTTTCAACAACATTACAAAACATGGATTGGGAAATTCTAGTGAATAAGATTAGCAAGTAGTCTCGAAGACACAATGCTGTGTAACACTAACTTTTCGAACACTGTGATTCATGTAATGTGACGTGGATGAGATTCATCTAACTCCGAAACCTTTCTCAAATGTTAGAAAAACTCTCTGCTTGGTAAGCCAAAAAAGGCATTGAGGTAAAGGCAAAAAAAAAAAAGCTATCCCTGCAGCAGGCCGCGAAAGCCCTTAAAGTTGTGCGACTTCGAGGGTCCCACATTAGCTAGACGATTGTCTCGCAGATGGCATTGAGGTTGTGAGCCTTACGCGCCGGCCNCTCCCCCCCCCCAGGAAGTTTCCAGGTACTCATTTCTGTTAGAGGATGAATCGACCACAGGGCTGTAGTGCCGCTGGAAGGATTAGGTCAGTTGAAAATAATCTGCCTAATCGGGTCTCGATCCAGCGACCTTCCGGCTTGTAGCATAGTGCCTCAACCAACAGCGCTACCGCGTGTATAGGCATTAAAGGATAACATTGACATAGGCTATAGTTCTGAGTATCAGAGATCATGGAAGTGAGTCATGATTGTGTCAAAAAGTGGACTTCTGAGTTGGTGGTGGTCAGTTTTATAGTTCTGCTCCCAGAGTGACGGATGTTAATTTAGATTGAACCGGGTCTGAGTGAATTCAAGTGGCCACGTCTCACAGTGTGGTGCTGAAGAGATGGATTCCACTGCAGAACGTAATATTAGACCTCCGAGTTTTAGTAACTGCGGATTCAATGGGATTTGGCAACATTAGTTTCATACTCGTAACAAACTGGGGCCTCCGTACACTGAGAATTCCATTCAGGGATACAGACTTCTTCACCTATGCAAGAAGATTCCTCAGGCGATGGTGTTATATTTCTGAGAGGTAGGTAGGCGAGGTTTGGGAGGAAGAGGTCGTGGCCTGCTTGGAGGAATTATCCCTCCATTATCTTCTTTTTAGTTTCTTAGGTTGCGGTGAGACTGAGTCCACTTGGTACGGCGGGCCACTAACTGGCCGGATGATAGATGATGAGTGTGCAGCAGTCGGTGGAATGAGAATTGGCAGGGGAAACCGAGGTGCTTGAAGAAAACCTTCCCCAATGCCATTTTTTGCACCACAAATCCAACATGACCTGACCTGACCTGAGCTCGAACCCGGGCTGCCGCGGTGGGAATCCGGCGACTGACCGCCTGAACTGAGACAAGGCCATTCTCCCCCCAAAAGTCAGAGAATAACGAAAATCAGAAAATATATCAGTCGGGTTGGCCATTGACCCGGCCGAGATTCGAATCAGGGTTACCACCACACTAACTTTCTCATTGCAAAATTGAAAGGTGATTCCCTCACTTCTACTGCTGAAAAGGGATAAAAACCCTTACGTATTTTCTTTACTGTGACACTTCGTAGTAGCACAGTACAATACCTTGCTTGATTCGAAGTCACAGCGGAAAAACCACACACCTGAGTATGACGTGCTGCTTTAAGTATTTGAAGGGCCAAGTCCTTTGACTGCTATTGGTTCATTTTACGTCTTAACTTATTTCCAGGCAACGCCATTCACGATTCTATGATCCGTGTGATGTAAGAGCGTCAAGATAACGTGCAGAGCAGAAATCCATTCAAGAGCAGTGACGTAAAGCCCCTCCCACTACGAAGACTCGAGACCAGCATCTCCTCTCGAGGCAGATATAAGCGTCTGGAGTAGACGTGTGCAGTAACAGAAACGTTTGCTATGGCCGGCGTAACTTCATCGTGGCTCAGCATTGCCGTATGCGTCGCTTGTCTGGCAGCGGCGTCTGGTACGTATATGTTTTATATATAATTCGGTTTCTTCTTGAAAAACCGGTCTTAGTATGACTCAGGAATTCACGAAGTAGTTGTAATATTCACCAGCTGACTAACAGCTGCGTTATAACCGGCTTCTGAAATGAATTACGCTTTTTATAACCATTTTAAGCTCAGATGTGTTTGTGCGATTGCCTCATAACCTTGCATTCCCTTCGTGAATTTATTACAAGTTTTACAGCCTCAGAACCGGTTTATAGAACCAAACGTCAAAGAAGTATAATGAATTATTTATGCAAAACGTTAGCCAATACAGTTTTAGCGTAACAAACCTGTTGTTCCTTCCACAAAGTGTACTGAAAGCGTTCGACAGCTTTTCTGTGCCACATAACCTCGTCAGTAAGATAACGCTGTATAAAAATAATTGTGGCTGGAATATATTTGTGGAAGCTTGACTTTTATTCTTCCAGAGAGATAGGGGATAGGGGCTAGCTCTGTCTATTGGACCCAACTGAGTAGGTTTTGCCTGAAGACGGGGACAGATTCCAGTTCCCGAAACGTTGTGTTTTTTAATAAAAACTAGACTTTTTTTTTTAGAACAGACAAGATGATGGATAATGTCCAGCAACATATTAATTGTAACAATTTACCATCATCACAAACTTTTAGATCTTATTCACATAAAAGTGTCTTGATAACGTAATATATCGACGCAAAATGCGTACTATTAAAGCGTTGTAATATCGGTCTCTGGTGGGCTTATCGCGGAGTCTAAGCACCTTGAACATGTGTGTGAATGTGCTTAAAGAAGAGTTAACTTTAGAACTATATATACATTCCCCCATACGCCTTCATGTCGTAGTGTTTAATTTGTTAAGCACAGGGACAACATATATATTTTACCTTAGATTTATATACATCCCACAAAGAGAATACATATTCAGCCGGATGTCACGGTTGAGTGATTGGCGTTCATTAATTTTATTATTATTGCTACTACTAGTTTGGGAATCATATTTCCTAATCTCGGTCAGGAAACTGATAACTGTGAAGCAAATAACCTTAAAATAATTTGAACTACTTCCAGACGTAGCTTATTCTTCGGAATTTTTCATTTAAAATTTTGTTCCGCATTCGACGATGTATAACCAATCCAGGTGAGGAGTAGCCCATTTACATTAAGAAGTAACACATACTCGTGTATACATGTACTAAGACGTACTTGAACTCTCTCAGGTGTATGTGATATAAAAAATTCTCTATGATGAGAATTTGTGTACTGTGCCACATACATTAAATCCCAGACAATTATTTAGAGTTTGGGATGAGGTTGTGTTTGTAAAAATATATTTTAACCACGCAAATTACAGTTCTAGGTTCGCATAGACAATTCATAGAGGCCTATGTATATGAGTATTTTAATAATGAATATTGTTTTAGGTGCCCCAAGACACAGTGCAGAGCTTGAAGCTCCTGAAGCATCTGCAGCCCTCCTATCACGCCTACGAAGAGCGTCAGGTCCCGAGGACATGTCAAGGAGTCTCAGCGGTATCTTAGATGCTCCACAGGAACCCCATAAGCGAAGTCTTACTTTGCAGGATGAGGCAGTTCAACTGGAAAATCTGCTGAAGGAGGAAGGGAACTTCGAACCCCGTCAAAATGGCGGCAGCTTCAGTCCTGTTAGAAACTATGAAAATGGAAACAAAATATCTTCTTTACCCGCGTAAGTTTAATTAAAACTTTCCATTAATAAGGCTACAGTCAGAGTTTTGGTAGAGTAAAAAAAAAGAAAAGTAAGTATATCCCTGTAACAGGCCGTGAAGGCCCATAGGGCTGTGAGACGTTGAGGCTCCCACATTATCTAGACAATCGGCTCAAAGATGGCGGTAAAGTTGTCAGCCTTACGCGCCGGCCGCGCTTTACTCCCCAGGAAATTTATTTAATTAATTCTTGGTATTCATTTCTGTTAGAGGCTGAGTGAACCCCAGGGCCATAGTGCATCCGGAAGGATTAGCTCAATTGAAAAAAAAAAATCCAATGACCTCATCGGAACTTTAACCCGCGACCTTCCGGCTTGCAGCACAGTGCCCCTTCCGAGTTTGGGTTCTACTTATAATTATTTCCCATGATCTGTGCTTATTTTAGAGTTTCAATTGGGCATTCGCAATGTTAGCTGTAAATGCTCAGAGTTCTGAATACAAAATTGTAATTTACCTTCAGGTGAGGATCAATTTCTCTTCCTTCTTACAATTACACTCAGGAGCTTTCTCCGCACACTGGCCACAGAATACGTTCCTCTTTTAATTTAAAGGTACAGTTGTCTATCAGCACAAGAATCCTGCAGTAATGCAGGTAAAGCTCCATGTATTCTTAATTTTAGCAGCAGACTGGGGTTAACAATCAGCTTCACACTCCAGCCGCTCTACTCTACGGGAAAAGAATTTTTACATGCTTGATTATAGATCTGGTATTGGGGTGAACAGTGATGGGTGTCGAACAAAGTTAGGTACAAACACTCGTTATCACGAAGCCCAAGTTACAGCGTACAAAATTTGTTTAGAGACTTATCGTGCAAACCTGACTTAAATGTTTGATATTAAGATACATAACTTGCATTTGAAACATTCTTTGATACGACGTATATTTAACAAAACAAACAAAAAAATCTTCTGTCTGGCTGTAGCGATGTATCTGTGGCGCTGATCGCCGTGAAGGGTACCTGCTATGGAACTCTTAAGATCGTTTACGCGAAGTACGAGCGCTGTATCGTCAGATCCGAGAATTTCATAATAATATATCTTGTTCGTAGCGTGGAAAGAGTTAACATTTGTTCTTCCTTGTACAGATTCCGGCGGATTCCCTCACTGAGCAATAACTGCCCGACGTGTGTTCCGGACTCATTTCGCTGGAGGGATATGGACTAGCCTCCAGGTCTACACGCGTCTTGTGTTCTGGCAACTATGTTCCCGACATCGGAATTCCAATTCTGGGGTCAGGGTCTCGAACAGAAAACAGCTATTTCATTCAGCACTCTTCTAATAATTTATTTGTGTGTTTATTCGTCATATAAATACTGGAGGGAAAATGTCAGTAGAGACACACTTATTGCGATTATCAGGATAAATTCATTCACAGTGAGAAGTTATCATTCCTCATTTGATTTCATATTCCTATTTTCGCATGTCGCTATTTATTAAAATATTTCATGAAGAAGTGTTCACAAAGTGTCAGTGTCACAGGTGGAAATATGCGAAAGATTTTGAAAACGATTAAATGGAAATTAGCCTTAGCGCTGAAACACCAAATAAAGAGACTGAATGTAAGATTTGAGGTTTCCACGGCGGTGATTGCGGAAGAACGACGTCTTCTGGGAAATAGCGCCGTGTAGATCTTACGTGGCTCTAGACTCTGCAGCCACCTGCTCACGCTGGTTCCTCGCTTGCGGATTTTTCTACCCTAAAGATGGAGGCGATAAATTCCTACGAAACGTCGGTTCACATAAGATCTACACGCGCCACATCCCAGAAGACTGCACTTCAAAGAGACTGAAGTTTGAAACTTATGGTGCATCCTTTGATGCTTAGAGAACTGGACTTGATAACTAGGACCAGTGTCTAGTCAGACTGAGCAGTATTAGACACGTATATTAACCCCTTCTGTGCCATTCTTCGGAGAAGGCAACCGCTTAGCCCATTTATATTTCCTGTCAACTGAAACGTAGCCTTTGCTTCTGCTCCCTGAGGACCGTTGCATTGAACCGTCTAAAGTAGCTTACATGTTGGTTATTGCAGATCGATGTTATAAACGCTGGCAAAATTTATGATGACTATGCACCGGCAACCTAATCGTGATGGACACTATATGGGTTAATGTATGTGCATATAATATTATATTGTACTAATTGTATTTATTGAAGAACAAAAACTTACCTATTACTATCCACTTAAATTAATTTCCAAGCGAAACAAAGTGTTACATTAGCATGGACTTGGAAAAGGATATTCAGGGCATAATGCTATTCTGGAACTGCTATTGACTTCTTTATTTCCATAAACACGATTCAAGGTCACATTTAGAGGAAGCGCAGTAACATCACGTCTGAAGCTTGTTTACACCAAATGTAATTCCTCCATAAGAAGTATCTTAGGAGAAATGTTGAATCTTAGGAGAGAAAAATTAATTAAGCATAGTTATAATAATAAGAAACATATTACAGCTGAGCACACGCATTTATACCACCGTGTAAATATCTCCAAGCTCGCTCTTAAACAATTCTAGGGCCTCGGTTCGATTGTAAGAACTTGGAAAACCGAAAAATGTAATTGATTTACTTCTCATAAAAATTGAGAGGTCAGTATTTGTTTCAACGAATAGAGCTATCTTTTGTTCATTTTGAAAACTTTCTCCAGCTACCCAAATTTGATATCACGTCTTGGTGTTAACGCATTTTGTGGCTGCCGTTGTGAGACTGATGTATGACTCTGGGACACCCTCTTGGCAACCAATATCATAGATCTAGCCGTATACATGACGTAGAGCTTAAGGAAAGTTATTCTTTCTGAGCATCCTGAAGGATAACCATGAATGTCGGTTGACTACAGAAACTTTGTGTTTGTTAATAACTTATAGAAAGCTACGTCTAATAGACCTAGTATAAGATATACATATTTTTACATTGCACTGAAATAGGGGAAACCTGTGGAAAATTGCCTTTTCCGAAGCTTGTCCATGCTACTGGAACGCGACGGACGTCAGCTAGCTGCACTAAGCAAAAGAGCTTAGGGTTGTGCGTATGAATGTTTAAGAGCAATGTTCATTAATAAGTAAGAGTATGAAATCTGTTGCACTCTCTGGTATTGCAGAATTTATCATTAATGATTCCATGAGTGTTACACTTATAGATTAGTTACCAAAGTCAGTGAAGATAACTGGTTCAGACCATTCCTGTGTTTGTTCGTCAGTATTTTTATATGGACTTATATTTTAGTTTCAATAAATATTGTTACCAAAATAATATAGGTTCTTGCGTTTCATATCAGTTTTGTGACCTTTCCATATAAAACTTCGACGTACATAAACTTAAACAGATTAGATCCTGTCCAATTTTTCTTCAAAGCACACCAAATATGTTTTGAATTTTGGGGATGGACGCCAGAATTAATCCAGTTCTCATCGTTATATTCGGACTTGTGTTTGCGTGGCCAAAAGGCCATAACTGGAGAAGCGAAGAAAGGACGAACAGTTTAGCACAGCGGTAGCGCTCATAAAAGTCCACAGCTGGATCCTCGCCCAGATATGAAACTCTATTGAATGCATTTTCTCGCATTTTATTCAGTCTCTAGAGGCGGATGCCGGGCTAGAACCTTCAACTCTGTCCCCACTATCCCCTTCTGTTCTCCTGCCTACTCATCACTCATGAAACTGATGCTACTAGGCGTTCTGAGGAAGAGAGGACAATTACTCTTATTTGGAATGAGTGCAGATGTAAAGCTAAAGCTGTCCCTGTGCTCAACGAATTAAACACTATGCCATGAAGGCGTATGGAGGAGTGGATATATAGATCTCCATTTTCTTGATCTCGGTACTAGCTGGAGATGAGTGGTCAGCTTCACGCACCTGCCGCTTTATCCCCGGTACCCATGGGATAGGAGGCTGAGTGGACCCCAGTGCTGGTTTGGACGATTTGGAGAAGAGAAAAAATTCTTGACCCTACCGGGTTCGAACTCCGTTGTTCAGCTCGTAGCCAGTCTCTATACCGATTATACTACCCCGACTCCTTGACTGCAGATGTTCCTGCCCAATTCGAAACTTGTAATTTTTTAAAACACGTTACGTTTTTCGTCGAATTAGGATACAATATTAAAGAGGTTGAAGAGTGTATCTTCAGCAAAATATATAGTAAGTAAGTAAAGGTATCCCTGTAACAGGCCGTGGAGGCCTATAGAGTTGTGAGATGTTCAGGTTCCCACATTTTCTAGACAATAGGCTCATGGTTGGCGGCAATATATATAATTATATTAATTCATCTGTAGTTAATATTTCTTGTAATTTCTTGAAGTCACACTTCGTACATTCATTGTAACAAATTTACAAAGAATGTAAGATCGGGGACCGGTATTTGACTCTCACTTCCGTAGTTCAGTGTTTACAAATCGTCCCTACCTCCGCAGCTCTCAGTAAAGCAGACCATGTACTGCACATTTGCCTATGAGTAAAATGTGTTCGCTCATAAATCTTTATGATTTTTATTTTTATGAATCTTTTTATTGTGGATTGCAGAGCCTAAAATTATTTGACATGAATAAATTTAAAGTACCTAAATTATAACAAATTTAAATCAATACGCTTAAAAGACAACAACAAGAATGATGAAGACGTAAAATAGTAAACTGAAGATGGCGGTCATGTAAAGCGAAGTATGTAATAAATATGAAAACATTAAAAAAATATCGAAATAGGAACAATTTAAGAAAGAAAACCTGCTACGGCCGAAAACATGGATACGATCTCAGATCTGTCTGTGTTTTCGTCGTAACGTTTCAGTTAAACATGTCACTACATACCGTCTGAGAAATATGATCCAGTTGATATTACTCGTGTCTGTTCGGAATCTGGTAGGCTTACGTATGGTGTGCTGCAGGGGACGAAGCACAGTGGGTTACCCCGCGTGCACACACACAGCGAATGCCGCACTTTTGCTCACTGGTGGAAGACTGGAGGGACTGGAGAGCGTGGAGAGGGTGGAGAGACTGCTCAGACTGAAAGACATCGCCTAGGAAAAACTCCCTTTATACGAGTATTTCAGAATGCTGAATTACCGGCTAAGACTGTTGGGACAGACGTTTCTGTACATGTAAATTTAAAGACTAGCAAAAAACCAAGCCATAAACAGGTATAAAAAACCAAGAGAAAATTAATTAGTAAATATTTAATAAAACAAGTGAGCCGGGATAGCGCAGGTAGTATAGAGACTAGCTACTGACTGGACGACCGAGGGGTCGGAGTTCGGGTCCCGGTGGGGTCAAGAATTTTCACTTCTCCATGTCTTCCGGACCGGCTCTGGGGTCCACCCAACCTTTTATCCATTGGGTACAGGGGCTCTCTCCCCGGAGGTAAAGCGGCCGGGGAGTGTAGCTGATCATTCATCTCCAGTTAGTGCCGAGGTGAAGAAAATATGGAGCTATACATCCACTCCTTCACACACCTTAATGGTGTAATGCTTAAATAGTTAAGTACAAGGACAACTTTACCTTTTAGTAAAACAAAGTCCTCGACCGACTGCGTAAAAGAAATACTTCTGAGAAATTATATAAAAATATCAGCATGTGTTAGTGGGGTCTGGATTGGTAGGTGGATATACTGAACATCTATAAACCGCAACTGAGAGTAAACATAATTGTTATACGGATCTATACACCCTATAAATCACTGTTCCTAACATTAAGTTCTCTACGTCTTCACCAGGACTCCTAACAATGAAAGTTTCTTTGCTTCCGTGCTCACGTCCTTGCTGGACGGCGACTGGCTCATAATTCTTCATGACTACAATTCACGGCCTCCTATACATCACCGTCTCTTTCGACCGTAGGCTCTAGGCCTCAGCACGGACGGCATAGAATATATCGTTCCAACATCTCGTCGATTGTTGTGTTACGTGTGAGCGGTAGCTTGAGTATTTGCCTAGTCGTTACCTAGCAGCGGAAGGCTTTTCTGTCATCATGTCACAGTATACAACCGGACGTATAATTATGTTGAACTCTATATATAAATAGAAATGAACTAGCAATACATAGAATTGCTGTTACTGCTACCGGTACAACATATATCCTACACAACTAAAGACTTACCATCTATCCCTCTCCATGCTAAGAGTACATTTAGAGCAAGGACGATTTTTAGTGTGGCAGCCTTTAAAGATTATGATATTTTTCTCGCTCCTAGTTGATTATAAATTATTCAAAAAGAATGAACCGATTTTATTACGCAATATTTTATTAAAGGAAAGTAATACAAAACTCCAGCCAAGTCACAAGTATTCTACTCACAATCAACTTTTATTTCCTGTCTTACAAGTGTTCAATGTGGCCACCACCTGCAGCACAGGCAATATCAATGAGATAAGAGAATTCCTCCCAGGCGGGTATCAGCATATCACTATACACTGAGTTAATCGCTGTTGTTATTCGATGTTTAAGGTCATTGAGGTTAGTGGGTAGCGGTGGAACATAAACGTGATCTTTTACGTATCCCCTCAGGAAGAAATCACACACGGTGAGGTCTGGGGATTTCACAGGCCAAGCACAAAGAGCAAGGTCTTGGGCCCCC